AATTCGATGTAAAAGAAGCTTAATTAAATGTCCTGCAAACACAGCCAGTAGGATATGCTCCAATGACTTGATACAAAAGGAATTAGAACAGATCTATAATATGTTGCTAGAAATGGATTACCCACATATGAACAAAATAAGTAGGAAATCTGATCAAGTGGTTGTCCAAAAGAAAGGAATATTCATGAAACTCCAATTCAAAAAAGATACATCTAGTGAAGTTCTATTCCACAGGCTGTCTACAGCTATCAGAGGAACTTTTTATGCTGCTAACCTCTGCTTATAATTTTCTAGTCGGCCGATAATTGTTGTCCAGACAGAAGACAAGCTACCTTTTCTACGTGTATTTATCAACTCAGCTGCTCCCGTGGAGAAGGCTATATTGGGCGTACAACTAGGCAGCTTAACAAACGTGTTGCTGAGCACCTACCGTCATGGCTAGGAAAGGGACAAGTGAAGTCAATATGAAGCTCAATTCTGTCACATTCAGTCGACAGTGGTCACGTAATAAAAAAGACTAAAGCGTTAGAGATCATCTGTCGTATTCCACAAAATATTTCGAATAGAATTCGCACCCGCACTTTACATACAGCCAAGGCTATGGAATTAGAGAAAACAAACCTAGTCTTTGTGTGCATAAAAAGTTTTGTGCAGCATTTATCTCTGCTTTGGCCAGAGAAAACCTATTAAATATCTTAAAAGTGGAATCTAGGATGTGGATTTCGTCCTATTTGGGACTCTTCAGCTGGATGTACTTGTCTCCCAGTGAGTGATGTTGATCCCAGCGGAATTGGGACTCTGGAGCGATCGCTTCTAACGAGAGAGCGTTGTCCACTACACCGAGCAATGAGGCAGGTACATCCAGCTGAAGAGTCCTAAATAAGACCAAATGCGCATCCTTGATTCCACTTCTAGCCAGGATCCATCATTACCATATAATTAAGAACACAGTTAATATCGAGGCATCCACACAGGAGCCCATATCTCACAGAGACTGATCAATTCGTTCCAATCAACGACGGAGTAATACAAGCACTAACACAAAAAATAACTTTAAAGAAAAATGCAATTTTCATCCTCTTCCCCTTTCTTTACCCGTTTCACACATGTTTATTTATTTGTTTAGACTTTGATTATCTATACATTAATACATTTCACAGACGTTTTCGCTTTGATAAGTTTAGCATTTTACTTCAGAAACTCATTGAGTGCCTTCAATGCAATAGGGTCCTCACGTGATTTAAGAATGTTAAAAATTCCGATTGTCAAAATTAGAAGCCATATAAGCGAATAATATTGTTTTCATTAGCTCTCATCTGGCTTTATGCTATCTACATATTTCATCCCTTAGTACTATGTAACTTTTATTTTTCCAAGTTTTGACCGACATTGTTTGTTAAAATGTTTGCAGTACCATGCTGTTCCCATTGTTCTTATCATCATTGAGATAACTATTATTATTGTCATTATTATTATAATTGTCTAAATATCTACTATTTACATATCTCATTTCCTAATTACCACAGCCTAACTAATCCACCGTGATTTGTTTAATGTTTTATATATGAGAAAATTTATGTATATTAGCGTAAAGCCTGATGAGAGCCAGTTGAAAACAATATTGTTCGCTTTAATGTCTTCTTCCAATTATTATGATTAACACCATTATTATTATTTCAACCCTCCATTATCAAAATATGAATGTATTCAGCTTGCTTCCACAAGTTTAATTCAGTAGAAGTTCTATCGTATAAGTGGTGGGCATGAAACATATCGTTCATAAATTATAGGTATAACAAAAAAAGAGCTAACAGAAACTTTACCAGTTGCTTGATGAGTCTTAAGACACTCATCAAAATCTTTCTCATAATCATAGTTGTCATTATTATCATTATTATTATTACCGGACTCATAATCATCATCACCATCACCACCAAGTTGTTGTTATTATCATTTACATCACCCTCATAGTCATCATTATGATCTGTTAAATCGATGTGTTCAGGAGAGGCGTATCTGGCTAATTGCATTGACGGATGAACCAATTCTGGATTAAGGATACATGGATCCAAATACTAGCAGGAGAAAAAAGATTACATTATTTAGTTAGACTAAAAACTAATAAACGGAAAAGATAAGTGAATTGTGATCCAGAGCTAATTACTGACTTCCTATGAAATAACGATCATAGGGGTTGCAGCGAGTTGAATTCATTGCAGTCACCGAGACACAATAGTGATGGTGGACAACATCGAATGATGGTCATCATGCATCACCAAATGCTAGAATAATGAAAAACAAGGTTGGTAGCATTCCTAAATACACCAACCGAATGATTATGGGCTTAATGCATGAATTATCAGTCATGGACTTCTTTTCTTATTTGGTGGTGAATGTCGATCGTTGTCTCTTTGTAATCTCTGTTTATTCACTCACTAACTGCAGTTGAGAAAGATCAGCTCTACCAGAAAATGTCTGGTATCCCAATGAAAGTCGAACGCTTAGATGTGGTTACTGTAGCAGGTGATTTCAATGTACGGCTGGATAGGTGGAGTTAGGCAGAAAGGCATTAAGATAGCATTTTCGGAATCCCAGCCGAACGGAAGAGTAATGGTGATTGCTAGTGCTGAGATAATCATCTATTTCTGGCCAGCACGAACTTCAGACATAAAGAGAGACATTGTCTAGAGTCCATCAACCGTAACTAATCAGTGGATACAGATCATATTGTCATCAGTTATCGTTGAAGAGGGTCGGTGGAAGATTACCGATCCTTCTGAAGGTCATGTTTGCCCAACGGATACGAGTTATTTTGAGTACACGTTTGTCTATTTCTGAATGTACGTGGGGAAACTACGGCAGAGAGATCATTGCGAATGCTGCTTCACGATATGAATACTAAGGCTGTTTTCAGCAAGGAACAGGATAGACAAGAGTAATTCATGTGAATGACAAAAAAAGTATAAAAATAACATGGGTTGCTGTCAAATCATCCGTCAGCCTTTATAAGGACTGAGCTATAACACTTAACAGATGAGCTCTAGTATCGTTTCATTTCCTGTTTATAAGTAACTGAATATGTACAACTCCTATCGTTAATACCAATTTAGTTTTCATAAAGATTATTGACAACAGCACATCTCTTGGCAAGACTACTAGGGATACACAACTGGGTCAGACTCATAAAAATGCGAGTTATAAATACTTATGTGAAATCAAATTACTTCACTCTTTCGTGAAATCTCACTGATAACAATAACTAGCGTGACACTGAAATATCTGTCAAGTTGAAATTTGGCTCATATAACAGCTCAGTCTTAGCATACACACCCCAGGTGCCAGGTATCTGCCGCCATCTTTAAAGAGAGATAAAAACGTAGAATCTCAAGTAAAAGTGTATTGTTGATTTTGTTAGCTACCTTCTACAACAGCGGCGAGACGAAAACTTGAATGAAATAGGAAAATATAGAGATAAACACAGTGGAAATGAGTAGAGAAAGGTTATTAGGATGCCAGTTATAAAAAAATAATTAGTTTTTTCAGAGAAAAATATGCATGAATATATTTTGTCATTTTGATCGATTTCAGTTCTGTCACCGTGGATCACAATGCATTGTTTTTTCGAATTAGGTCAACTTCAATCAAGAATTATTCACCTCCATGCAACGCTTCAGATCAGATAATGATGACTTTATGGATGTCTGTCAAGTGTTAGTCTTGACATATCGAAGTAAGCAGTGGTACGGCATGTGCAATGTGTATCCTGACCACCTTAGTCGGTGATATTCACAGCTTCACTACTCATAGTTTTGAGTTTAATCTCAGCGTTGATCATTCTGTGGCTTCAATACGCAGCAGCGATACTATAAATAACTCTACAGTCAGTACAATGTGACCTTCCCCTACCGTTCAATTACGGTGACCGTTTTGTAATCATAGAGTAGGATACAGAGAACGAATACACAAAGGGAGAAACACATGCAAATGCTTCATTTTAAGTGCTCAAATGAGAAGAGAGCCATTTATGAAAACAGTTTGGTGTTGTCTGGGCCTTGCTACTATATCCTAGGCGTTTTATCACCACATTTGATGAAATTATTAGCAAAAAAGAAAACTGGAGCAGGCTTGTAGGTTGCTTGAATGTTTAGGTAGTGTTTCTCTTGACTCTGATTTTCAATAATAATAATAATTCACTTTATTCCAAACAATTTGTGGTACAATTTGGAATTCTCAGCGTAATATATATTGCAATAACAAAAAAATATAAGTATATATATATACTACTTTGCAGCCTTTTGAATTGTTTAGTATAAAAATTTAAGTTATGTGAAGAATATTAAAAACGAGAAAATTTTGCATTGTAAGTTAAATTATTGAAATGAGATTGTTAACTATTATAAAGTTGATATGTGAGTTCTGTTCTAACTCTCATTTCCTCACATAATATGCGTGCTAGGTAACGGGTACAGTCGAATTCTTATGCTTAGCTGTACGAGCATACAGTCTTACGTAGTTTTTCCTTGTCCTCCCTGAGGAGATACATGGAGAGAACTGTAAATGAAGTGGATGCTCACTGTCAGTTAAAATTTCTGTAGCCAGTAGCTTGCAGGAATTTAAATGTCGATCAACTACAGTGTTAACCAGTTGAGCCAGAGACACACCACTCACCCTGCTGACGGTCTTCAAAGCCCTACGCAACATAAAATAGTCCTTTTAAGAAGACCAGGAAAGATTAATGGGGAACACTATAGAAAAACAAGTAAAATGCAGGAATTAATAAATTGTAAAAGAAGCAGTTGAGTTATACCAGAAAGCCTCAATTTCTTTAAAGTTAAACGAAAGATTTTTTTAAAGTGAACAAAATATGGGACGACCAACAAAGGTCAGAAGTAAAACGCAACCCAAGATAGTTCACACCCGATTTACTTTCTGCAGAAATACCAGGGATGCAGCAGGTGTTATGAGATTTAAGCAGCTCATTGAATTATAAACAAGGCGAGGAGAATTTTGTTACATACTGAAATTTGCGTTCAAAAGTGTCAATATGTGAAAAATGCACTCCCCAATTTTAAAATGAAAGAGTAGAACATGGAGACTGTGGATAGTGTATAACTCGATAACAGCTTGTTTGTTAGATATTTCACGCAGTGAACCAGTAGTAATAACTGGACATCGTTTCAAGCATAATTTATTTTCCATGTTCAGACCCGAAATATTTCTAGTACTTCCAAATACGCTTTCACAGGTCTATTTCTCCACCTCTTCATGTGAAGGAAAAATAATGCCTAACCATTCATACGATATACAACGATATTTCATTTCTTTATGAAATTAGTGTTGAGTATATCACTAAGCCTAACGATGAAACGTCGACAACGAGATATCAAGCCTCGGAGAGCACAAAATCACTATAATCTGCATCCTAAGCTAAAAACCTTGTCTGTTATTATCTGGAAATTATGTTTTTTATAATAAAAAGCTGGCAAGTTATAGGGAATAAAACCTGGCCAATCAGTTCGTTAGATACCAACACTATTTCATACAACTAGCATGATAACGCGACAAGCTTGGGAATTCTTGGAAAATAAATATAACAGTCTTATCATGGTGTCAAGAACAAACATCAAGATATTCAATCAACTGAAAAGCAATCAGAAAGAGAGTTTGATGCCATTTATAAAAAAATTACTGCTGATTGAAAACTTTCAGTTCCCACTTGACCAGTAGTATACCGAAATGAATTGATAGGTTTCTGTTGGGATATCGGTTGACTGAATGGATGCCTTGATATTGTTTCAAATTTGGACTATGGTGTAATTTGCTTCGTGGTAGCTAACAGTGTGGAATTCCCGATGTGAGTTTTCTCCTATTAAGTACTCGTCAGCCGGATTAACTTGAATCCAAGTGTATAACCCTCAGGCGTTTGAAAAGATGGGTGCTGAGTTCCAGTCTCAAAGAGAACACCATTACTCATGATGATGCAGGTATGCATCCAGCTATCGAGTTTTAAATAGGACGAAGTGGGTTTCCTGGATTCAAAGCTTAGCTTTCACCCAGCAAATTGTGCCATATCGAAAAGATTATGTCTTACAGCCCCGAAAATTCTCATATTTTATATCTCAAAACTATACGGTATCCTAGAAAATCATCACTAGCGAGTGGAAGAGAAGCAAAGAAGTCTGTGGAAATCTTTAGTGAGTTTGTTCACCAATGAACATGAAATGTGGCCGTTATTCTCCAGCACATATTGAGGTTTAGTTGTGTTAGCACCTGATATGAAAAAACCTTTACCGCCAGCTCCGGAAGATCGTGGGGCAGAGGGAGTGTGTTTTTTGGGGGGTGGCCTTTTCCAATCTCCTCCCTTCCCATTGTGGAGGCAACATCAGTGTTGCACTGATGGTCATCCAAGCGAAACACCTTACTGCCGTCACACCTCATCCAGTCACCATAAAAACTTTATTCTCAAACCTTCATAATAATGTAGCAATTTAAACTACAACGGTGACCGCTTTCGTCTTTACACTATCCAACAGCCGTATTCGGCATGGTAGAACCTCGAGGGAACAAGCTTTCCAATAATATGGTTTGTTGGGTCACTGTGATATGCAAGCTCGACCACCACGTTTAGGTAGAAGCCATCTGCCCTTCTGTACGACTGTGAGACATGACCGTTCAAAGTAGATGGCATGAAACGGTTCCAGGGTTTTGATCACAGATGTCTTCGTACCATTGCTCGTGTTAAGTGAAATCACTATATGATGAATTTTGAAGTTAGGCGAAGGGTACTGACAAGACAAGCAAGTTGATTGATGAGGTTGTGAGCCTTAGTCGACTAAGATGGCTTGAACATGCACTGCAGACGCCGGTCCATCACCTACCTCGAAATGGCAAGCTAGGGAAAGATGAATTACACTGGAAGAGGGTTCAGGGTGGTCAAACCAAGATATGGCACCACTCCTTGAAGTCTATTACTGTTGCCCTGAACCGTGTGGGGCCATGTAGACTGTCTGGTTGGTGTGCCCGAGACGAATCATCGTCATCACGTATCAATCAATCACTATCAATATAGGACCAGGCATTACTGCGTAACGATCCGAGTTGCCACATCTCATATCAGTACATCAAGTAGAAAGGTAGTAAGGTGAAGGATGAAGATAAGAGAATGCAGTCAACAGAAACATTAAGTACGAGAAGAAAAAAGAGTAGTAACAAAATGGTGAGATTCCATACAGTGTCGTTAAGATGAGGATAATGTGTGTATACATCTGTGCCACTGACATCGGTTCTCAGCCATATCACCTAGGGTCTCCAACCACTGGTTTCTCATGTCCTATGGACCCCAACCACCTAGTCTGCATCACCCTACATGGCTTAAACCAACAGTCAGAGACTTCATACATTGGTGCCATGTTTTAGTCTGGCCACCTCGGGCCTTTTTCCAGCCTGGACCCACCACAGCCAACATTGTGTGACGAGGCAATCATCGACTGGGAATACGTAACATATGTCCCAACCATTTCAGTTGATGAAGGTTCATAACCTCCCCAACTGACTTACCTCTTCTCCCTAAAACTCCACATCTGACTTCTGCGTTACTCATGTGGTGACACCACGGAATACGTCCTATACTGCGAAGGCAACGGTGGTTAAACACTTGAAGCCTTCTTATATCTTCCACTTTCAATGGCCATGTTTCACATCCATACAGTAGAAAAGAGCGGACTGCTGTGCAGTACATGTGACCCTTAATAGACAAACGGATATCACGGCGGCGCCATAGGTGGCGTAAATTGGCAAAAGCCAATCGAGCCTTTTGTGTCCGTATCACGTATCAACATAGGACTAGGCATTACTGCGTAACAGTCCAACTTGCCTCAGCTCATATCAGTACATCAAGTAAAAAGGCAGTGAGGTGCAAGACGAAAGAAAGAAAATTCAGTCAAAGGAAATGTAAAGTACGAAAAGAGAGGAAGGAAGGATGAGAAAATGATGAGATTCGGTATGGCGTTAAGATGAGAATAAAGTGTGTATACATCTGTGCCACTGACATCGGTTCTCAGCCATATCGCCTGGAGTCTCCAACCACTGGTTTCTCTTGTCCCTCGGACCCAAACCGGCTAGTCTACATCACTCCATATGGCTTAAACTGACAGTCAAAGACTTCATGCATTGATGTGATGTTTTGGTGTGGCCGCCTTGAGCCCTTTCCCATCCTGAACCTACTTCGGCAGACATTGTGTGACGAGGGGATTGGCGACTAGACATACGTAACACGTGTCCCAACCATTTCAGTTGATGATGGTCCATAACCCCGTCAACCGACTTACCTCTTCTCACTTATAGCGTCCAAAATAGGTCTAATATGTATGTTAACAAAATTCAGCACAGAATGGTAAGTTCTATTGTCAATCTTCAACCAAATAGATAGAAGTGTCAAAACTTACATCACGTAAGTCAAAAGTGATTTCCAGTTCTTTCTTGAATTGTTTAGCGAATTCAGGATACATTTCTAAAATCTCTAATAGATCATCTCGTTGAATTCTATGCAAATCACAGTAAGTAAGTGCTCTCACATTGTACTTTGACTGACCCATGCTGACATGATCAGTTGGATTTTCACCGAAAACATCGCCTTGCCCCAATACAGCTAGTATATCACACCCGATCATGATTTCAATACTTCCACGAGCGATGAAACATAGAAAGTTGAGTACATCACCTTTATGAACAAGTGTATCACCAGGTGGTACATGTGTGGTTTTCAACTTCAATGCAAGTGATCGTAGGCAACCTTGACTGGCATCTATAAAAGGTAAAATTAAATCTTGATTAGAAAAAATATTATTTTTTTAGCAGACGAAAAACTAATCAATAAACGGAATAAATAAGGACAGTATACCGGTTACCAAGAGTTTACGCGAGTATGTAAATTCGATCATGATAGATCATTTTTACAGCTAAGGACGATAACCTTAGTTTTGTAAAAATCTTTGAGCTAGGATGGCTTCATCAAATTAAGAACAGCTGTTGAAAATGCGAAAGTAGTGAATAAAGGAAACATAACGAATATCAGTAAATTCTAAGAAGCTTTATATTCAGGTTGATCAACAATCGATAGGTGTATCTATCACCAAATATGCATCATTTTCCGGAAGAAGCTCCAACCAGACTTTCGTCACGCTATGACTTAAACTATATCTAACATCAGCATTTTACTCCGTGACCAATATCTGCAATACCATTCGGTCGAATCTCGATCATAGTTCATATAAAGAATTTGTATAATGATAAACAGTTAGAAAGTCAGCAGAAAAACTGCTAATAAGAAGTCATGTGCAGTCAACGACACGACAATCAATCATACATCCTTTTTTAAAGGCGGGTTACTGAATCGCTCACAGATAAATTTTGACAGCTCAGTTCATAATGAAGTTATTGCTGATGATGTTATCTAGAAAGAATGAAGGTTTTACAACTAAATCAACCAAAGAATGCGACAATACCAAACGTCGGTTATGCCAGGTGATACGCCGAGAACGTGATTAGTACCTTAGGTGTTACGTTCACCAATAACAGAGATAACTGAGTTTGATTAAAAATAGAAGATGAAACATACTTCCTATTGTTAAGTGAATAATTGGAAAGTAGCCAGTTAGATGTGAAGAGAGCTCATATGCTAAAATCTGTGGTTATTGGTATTTATTTACTATAAAACATTGTGATTCAGTGAGATACTTTCTGACACACATTGGGGAAAATCACTAGTGAAGTGTATCCTCATGAAGCACCGGTGACGTCTGGCATGATACTGGAACGTTTGTCCACCAAAAAAAAACCCATAGATCAGCGAACAACTCAATTTAAACACCCATATCCTAAACTACAAATAGTCTCCACCATTTCTACACTGTACTGTTCTCGTTCCACTTTCTACATACAACGCCTTATGCTTTCAAGTCAAATCCAAGGCATAGTATGCCTAGATGGTAGAACAAAAACTCAAAAGAACTAATTGCTCTTTCCCAGTAGCTTCATTTTCAGATCTTTTATCAACAACATTTGTAAAAAAAAATAGTTCACAAACTTATCTGCAAGAGATATACGCATTACTTACAAAAGAATGAAAATCTTCTTAGGCTGTATAGGGTTCAGAAAATAGGATGAAAGTGAAGAAGAAAGTCACCCAATAAGAAAAAGAATATTTGACAAGACAGAAGAGTTGAAAGAAAGTAAGGGAAATGGTTGTCAGTCTGGAAAGGCAAAAACATTCGCTACTAAAATTGAAGGCTTTAGTTTTAACAAGAGCATAGTTCATAAAGCTAAAAACAAGTTATGTTGTATTCAGCGAAACTGACGTATATTAAAGGCTAAATCAAGAAAGTGAATTTTTCATTTATATATATATATATATATATATATATATATATATATATATATATATATATATATATATATATATACATTCAATTAGCTTTTCGGCCTGGGCTTTAGCTAACTGAAAAGGAATATATCTCTTCGCTCAATCAGTCTTTTTTCTAAAAGTGAATTTTATATTAGAAATTCTAGCTGGAATTCACATAACATTTCAAAGGAAGGAATCACTTGTTGTTATCCACAGTAGATTAAAAAAACTGTGTACCACAAGAAAATTCACTGAAGATAATAGTCTTAAAAAATTTAGAGCACGAATCGATGGGATCTGTATAAAGCATATCCTGCTCAGTCAATTCCTTCAAGTTTAAAAATAAACACGCTTATTGTTGTTGTAATTCAAAGTATCTACATACTACTGACAAGAGTGTGATTAAATAGCACATCTTTTGATAGTCATAAGAGCAGAAGATCGACTGGTGAATGGTCTAAAGACAAGAAAGCATGGTACATTGGCTAGAATATAGAAAGGATGAAGATGGATCGAAAACGTCTGGAGGAGAAGGTGGCTACATGATGAACATGAAAGATCTGTGCAAAAAGAACACTCACCACAGGGTTTTAGTATTTTATGAGTAGTGAGTGAAAACCGCTCAAAAAACCATTTTTCACAGTGCTAACCATGCATACTACCATCGAATTATGAGGTACTTAACTTGCTCTCCTCTGTTGGTCGAGAAGTGTAGGGTGAAAGTATCCGATTGTGAAGGTAGTGCTGATCATGAGTGCGAAGGGCTGGTTGCTGAAAAAGGTACAACTAGGATACAGATGGCTCGTTTGGCATGTGTTAATCAGCGCCATCTCTGGCGCCGAATGGCAACAACCCATTAAACAGTGGGCATACTACGCTGCAGTCCTTTGTGTTGTGAGACATGGGCGTAAAAAGCAGGTGATATGGTCATAAGTGTCATTGGAACATTACTCGCGTATGTTGGAATCATCACGTAAGCAATATCGAGGTCAGATGGAAAGTATTAGGCAACGAAGAGCGATTTAATCGATAGAGTTGTGAACTTTCATCGATTAGAGCGGCTTGGGGACATGTCGCGCATGTTCAGGCAATGCCTACCTCCACGCGCGATGCTAGCCAAAGTGGGATTGATTTTGGAGAAAACATAGGGTGGTCAGACAAAGACAGCACGAATCCATCAAGCTTTTGTTTATTGATTTGAGCCGTTGAGGGAGGTGTAGGCTGCCTGGTTAGGGTTCTCCTCCTTCTACACCTATATCTTCCTTACATACTGGAGCGAATTATAGTGTCTTCGACCGATGCACTTCTATGCCAGTTTCTACGTTAATTTGTCTGTTTCTCTGGCTGTCGAATTGTGAAAGCCTTATTCCCTACTTCCATCTTAATACTATTAAAGAAACTGTCTGGTGTTCTAATGAACAGAGGTAAGAGGTAAGCTACTGGATAACAGTTGAAGCCATCAGAATTCAATATTCTCTCAGTTGAACGACTATATACTTAGAGTTCTACCGGTTACTGGGAACAGAACCATTTGTATAGCGTTTTTAATTTGTACCTTATTATTACATACGCCATCCTAAAATCACAGAAACAAAAGATGAATAAAAACTACAAAACAAAAATATATTAGTAGCAAAACTCTTAGAGATTCTACCGTGCGTCATCTAGATTTAAGGCTTCTTGCTATTGTTCCACTACTACTATACTAACACCTAACATTTAATGCAACGTATCAACGTATCGTATTACTCAACCATTCAGTGTTCACATTGCAGATTCGATCGAAGGACATCAACTAATTCTTAGCACTTTGAACTTGATGCTTACATCGGTTATCATCAGGTAATCAATCAACCTACATTCATAGAAAGGAATGATAGTAAAGTAAGCAGAACTCATTCGAGTCAGTTTAGCTATTCAGTTGAATTGCTCTACAAACTTTATTATCTATATCATAATACATTATGACACAATACATTATTTCATATGAACCTATTAAATTTGTAACGGAAAAGAAATGTTTATAATAAACACATTTTTTATAATGGGTGATGATTGAAGGCTAAAAGAAAATTTGGACCGCGGCCGGATTCCGACAAGCAACTAGCGGGTTTCCAACCTGATGCTCTACCAACTGAACTATAAAGTCCGACCGGTGACCAGACTTTTATTTCACTTCAATCACCATGGGATTTTCCCGACTACCACGTAGATTCCTACCTCGTTACTGCTATCTGACCATATTCACACTGGCTGCCTAGTCTGGTCAGCAGTCGGACCTCGTAGCTCAGTTGGTAGAGCGTCGCTGGTCGCTGGTTCGAATCCGGCTGGGGTCTAGATTTTCATCTCACCTTTAATCATCACCCAGCATAAATACTAGCCTGCCAAACTACGGGTATCTCAGATATTCGAAATGACAAACACATTTTTCCCTCCTTATAAGCAATAAAATGAATTGAAGTTTAAACAGAAGAAGAACAAAGTCAATAGGATTTTATAATCATGAAACAAATTTTAGCACATTGCTATTGTGATCAATGCTATGGTAACGAGGTTACATCCAGAATGGAGAACTTGCTTTTTATATACATTTGAAAAAACAAAGTTGTCTATAGCTAGAAGAATATGCCTACTTGATTCCGTTAAATTTTAATTAAGCGAGAATTTGTTTCGTGTGTGCAATATTTCAAATCATGAGATAGCAGTAGAGAATAAGATCGGTCTCTTTACAGAAACGGATTAAATTTGTTACTAACTGCCAAAAAACTAAGTCATGAATGTCAAGGAAAATTTAACCTGAGTTTACGGTAAACTACGTATTTTCATCAAGAAAATCAATAATAATAATAATAATCAGGAATTAACGTCAGCTGGGAAAAAAGAGGAAACTTGAGTGCAATGGGAGTATATTCTGTCCTAGTTTGGAATAACTCAACTGCATGCACTCATGACCCTGTGAGGAGTCAAATTCAGAAATTTCAGGTATAAAAATAAGCCCTTTACCATTTATAGTCAATGGGTTCAATCCAACATTCCACACTTTCAAACTCCTTTGAATTTGCTATTTGTCACAATGATCACTGTGTATTATCAGCAAGCCTACGTCTTCGTTGTCGGCTTGGTTGGCACCATACGTGATGGATTCTCACTACGATATTGAAAAATCCAAGTTGGTAACAAGCACTAGAGTGGGGAATGTTAGAATTGTTTGATGATTGAGATTTATCATTAATTGACAGCATTAAGAAAACAGCCAGTGAATTCCAACCAATTGGCTGAACAGTAGCGTGTTTATCACAAGACATTAAAACCCTGAGTTTGATCCCATACGGAGTTATTGGTGTGTGGGTTTGATCACATAGATGAATGGTTCTCTGATTGACGTCAACTCGTGATGAAAGCTAATTTTTAGTCAATAAATGCCTAAAAACTCCTAATTGATATATATGCTTGTTCGTATTCACCAAATTTTTTCATAGTCAGTTCGAAGTCGAACGAGCGAAAGTGAAAGCTTATGGAAACCAAATATTCATTTATCGAGGAAAAGAACCTCCGAGAAACCATCGGAACAAAAGAGTTTAGATATGCACGTCTATGGAATAGAGTACAAGACGTTTCCGGTAATTTTTTCAAAGGGTTGTTTGGTTATAAACCACCTAGCTTCCTATACTGAACAAATCTAATTAATGTTAATACGTGTAACCATACCATACAACTCAATGAATAGACACGAAGGTGAACTTTAAAGTGTTGAGTCGATGACCTGAAGGTTACTGTTTCGAATTCTGCTACAGCTCATGTTTCAAATCAATTTCAATTATTATCCTTTATTATAAGGATTAGTTTGTTACAGCACAACTAATTGGAATAGTTTTTTGAATATCGGACATCAGTTAACTCAGAAGAGAAAATACTAAAATAATTGTATGACTAATAGAATTACCAATTTATCCACGTCATGAATCTAAACATATTCATAGTTTCTCAATTAAATGATACAATGAAAGGATGAACAAAAAAATAATAAAAACTAGCAAGACTAACTTTTGAATGGAGAACATGTATTCAACAGATTTCGATTTAAATGTAAGCAAATATCAGCTTGAAGACATTCAGGAAACTTCTCAGTACTAAATTCATATCAATTCCATTTGTATAGGACCAGGCATGTTGAAAAAATTCTTCTAAACGTCGTTTCAATGGATTGGGAATTTGATGAAAACGAATAAACTCTTTAACACGTAACATTTGAGCATGATAACGTGCAGTGCCACTGTATAAACGTTGGATAATAGCACTTACATGTCCAAATATACCAGCGTACATCAAAGCTGTAAATCAATAAAAACGTGAACACAACAAATGAATATCTACACCTGATGAAAATAAGAAATTGTATTGAGCATAAATTAAACTGATCAGTTAGTAGATTTTTTTTTCAAATCGAGATAATTGAGCATAGGGTACAATATTGTTGAATGCTGTTCACTTTTAAGCCGAAATGGAAAATGGATTAGTATGAGATCTAGTAAACTGTAGTTTCTGACACTTACTTTTAAATTCAAAATATTAGAAATTCCTATCGTGATGTGTAAAAGTAGCTTTAAACTAAAGGACGAAGTTAATGAACAAATACAGTTTGGATATAAATATAGTCGGAATATGAAAGGGGTGACAAAAATAAAAGGGGAAAGATGAGCATTTTGAAAATTTATAAGCAATGAAAAACTATAAAGCCTACCCTGTATAGAACAGGGATCAAAACTGTACAAATGTCTTTGAATACAAAAGTTAGGATTATTAATTCAAATTCAAATTTACTCAGCCATATGTAAAAGGCGAGTTCGAATTCTATTGGAAAGGTTCGTTGGCATATTGTTAATCACTTTGAGTTTTATCGTTTTGTTCACCTTGTGAAAACTACCAATTGAATGAGACAAAAGAGAGCATCCTACAAACCTACCATTTTTTAACCACTAGGGATTTTTTGTAATACATCGTCTAAGTTGCTTAGTTGCACGCTAGATGTGAATCATGGAAATGGTGAGACTCAGTAACTTGACATACGTTTGATTCAAAACAATTCAACGAGTAGGAAATAATAAAGATTAGCTTCATAAAAGTTTCCTTTTATATTCATCGATAGTCTGTGGAGCAGGTGTTTTCAGGCATATCCCAATTAAAATGTAGATTTATACATATTCTTTTTATCAAACAGTTACTATCTGCAGTTTTCTAAAAACCCTTTCATACATCTTTCCTATAAAATCAAAAGGATAATGTATTTTAATCAATGTATTCTGACTTATAGTCTGAACAGATTTCTCTTTTTCTGACGGTAGAACATTTCACTAGATTTATTGCGCAACTTGGTCTATTTTAAACTTAGCATTTGCAACATTGATAAAGCATTTCGAGATAGTGGTGAAGATTTGTAGCTCAATACGATGACCACAGAAGAATAAGTACGTGGAAAGAAGTTCCCAAGATCCCAGGTCAGATAATCACTAGACATAAAAGAGAATCTCAGAAACAACAAACAAAAGAAAACCAGGCAGTTTCCAAACCTTTCCGTACATACATTGAACAGGTGGTCACTCTCTGTCATGTTCTGAAGTGCAGGCACACTAAACGACGTACAAAACTAATTGCATTTCTCGACCTTAAGGCAACATTAGACTCTATCGACTGTGAGTCTCTTTGGCACTGTTTCTTACTGAGAGCGGTGCCCAGTAAGTATGTAGTGCACCTTCCTGGCACCAAAATATAACTAGGGCTGAAATAAATAGTTTGAATTAAATCAACTAAATAAATCTCTAGCTTGTCTCCGGATGCTTAGGGTGTTTTAAATTTTGTTTTAACGAGCATGCATACGAGCAGGCTTGGACGCCATTTTGCGCTCCATTGTGCTGATTACTACGCACGTACTCCGAGTCCCTAGTTCAGCCTTACAAGCCAGATAAGTTGATTAAACTTTTCCTCCATTCATTATTATTACATTTACTTTAATTAAATACATAGCTCCTTCAAATACTTTGCGTATCAGTTCTTCTGATTTGTGTTTTGGTATCAGTACTTACACGTTAGGTAAAGTACTGGTTAAGCAGGTACTAGAGCACATCAAGTTAAGTAGGGTTGATCAAACGTTACGAAATTGTAACACGCACCCCTACAAGTACATTACTCTGTTGAACACTTTATACTATGACACCTGTGGGCATGATAGACCTTTGGATGAAGTATCAGGTGAGTGTGTCCGTCGAGTGGTGTCTCTATTCCTATTTGATTTTATTATAGATACGCTTATAGAGATCGCCACCCTCCTCCTCGTCCTACTTTACAACGATTCACCGTGTCACAGGAATGTTTGAGAATGTTTCTGATACCCTTCCTATCATGAAAACACAATACTGTTCATTTAAAACTGGTCTATGTTGGTGCTCCGATTAACAAGGATGAGTGAAATGCTTAATTATATATATATATATATATATATATATATATATATATATATATATATATATATATATATATATATATATATAATTCCCAGCGAGTGCGAAAGAAAATAGGGTTATTTCAGCTGACGTTTTGCTATTTACTACTAATAGCTTTATAAAAGTTTTTGTAAGCCAGAATTTACAATATTAAACTATACATATGATGTGGAAGACTTTTCTGTATTCTGTAAACTACAAGGTATGTACCACACAGGAAGTTGTTCACAGCCAGATCTGTACATATCCTTATCGAGTGAATCCAGTAGTAGTTGATGGGCAATTTGCTTTGAAATATGACCTATAAAAGCGGCCCGACTGGAGTATATGAATTCATATGCGCACAAGAAAGTTGCCAGTAGAGCCAGTTTGTCATTTCCTCACATGTTCGTTACCACGAGTCTAATATGAGTGGTTCATAGAGGGGTTAAACAGGATGTAATTTGTTTGGTGTTAGCTAAGAGTGGGGCTTAGAACATGTCTTTTTTCATCTGAATGTACCTACAGTGAGTGGTAGGTAGGTTTTCCCATTGAAATTTTAACGCAACACTGATTAGGGCTGGGATGACCTCAGGTACAGAGTGGTTTCAACCACAATACCTTAGAATTGTCCATTAGATTAGGGAGGTTAAAATATAAAAATGAAATCATAGAAGGTGGTATATATTCCATAAAGACTGAAAAAATATCTTAGCACTAATTGTCAACAGTTAACGAATGCAGATATAGAACCTCGTAGTGAAGAGTTCCAGTGGAATAACAATAGATTCATGCATTTTCAAGATAGTAAACAGCTTGTTAGTTGACGCTACACTTTTCAGCTAGACTGAAAAGTTACATGGACTGCACAAAGCGCGCACTTTCCAAACGTATCTCTAGACATAACCTTGCATGGGTCTCAAAAGAATACAAATCAACCTAACAGTTCAGTATTTAAATATGTACTTAACTATAACGTAGATGCATACATAAACACACATACAAATAAATGCTGATCGGTTTAAGTTTACCTGCTTTTTTGCAATTAAGATAAATTCCATTTCAGAGCATAACCAATGATAAAACAAAAGTAGTTTCTATAGTGATTCCCTTAAGAAGTCTTCCGAGTCTTTTTTCGGAGTACAATACAAAACAACATTTGAACCATTTTCGTCATAAGAAAATAAAGACACAAAGATATAAATGAAACAATAGGCAAAAAATAGATTTTTTTTTACCTACCTAACTTCGTGTCTCCCACACCTCTACCCTAAGGAATCATAGACTTGAGATAAAACAACGTTGGTTTTATGAATTATCTTGGAGGGAACTGAATTTTTAGACGATATCTATTACGAAGATGAACTCACTTACTTCGTGTCAATTTTCCAATGGTAGAGATGATAAAAGCGAAGTAATAAACAGGTAAATGGCCATATTTTTATAGTTATCTTTGGTAAAACAAAATGAATTAGGCTAATGGAAATAGTTTAGCACTGAACAGACTGAAAATAATATATGATGATATTAAAATACACGAAAATATATAGGTTTTTAAATCAAAAAAATTTTGCCAAAAGTAGAATTAATTGACTCTACACGAGTTCAAAACATCCTATACCAGTAAGGAGGTAAAATATAGTTTATCAAGAAAAAATAAGACAAACAGGATTACGATAAAAAATCGTACGAGTTGCCACACTTCACAACAGCATGCAAAGAGCGAGTATGGAAACAGCGATGTCAAAGAAGACACAGGTGCATGGGAGGGAAAACAATTTAAAGGTAATTGAAAATAGTCAAGCTTTAGAAGACGTTAAAGAGTGAATACATCTGCGTTATCGTGACCGATTTCTAGCCACGTCAACAAGGGTCTTCAACGAACGACTTCATTATTGCAAAGAGCCAACCACATAGTCTAAACCTCCCTATACGGCTCGGAACGACAGTTGGGGATTTCATGCACTGGTGCCACATCTTAATCTTGCCGCCTTCAGCCTTCTTCCAGCCTAACCCAACTCCTCCGGGAATTACACGTCAAAGTAAACGGTACCACTGAAAGTGCGGCCTATGTTCAAAGCCACCTCAGTCGCTGAAGGTTCACAACCTCATCGACCGACTAGTCTGCCCTGTCTAGTACCTTTCCGTTAACCTAAATATTGCTCAAATGGTGATCCTTCTATATGCGAGCAATGCTACGAAGATACCTGTCGTCAAAAACATGTAGTCCATTAATAATCTTCTTTCAACAGATGTCTCACAATCGTATAAGAGGACAGAATGCTAGGTGTAAAAACGTGATGTCAAAGTAAAGAAAAGTGTATGGAAAGGAAAGAAAAAATAAGAAAAAGATGAACGGAATATGAAACGCTTGTTCGCAAAAACGCTAAACAAGGGAATGATGAAATAAGCTAGGCATTTCCAGAACTGAATGTAAAAAAAACTGACCAATTGAGGGTACTTAACGTTAGATGAGGTCTCCATTTTCATACAACTTAAAGCTGATTATTGATTCACTTCTTCATGGGTTAAAGAATTTCAGACAATCGACATTCAACTTACTTTATTGGTGTTTTTGTTTTCTGAAGACTTTATTTTATGAATCAAAATGCCTGCTTAAATTTTTGAAGGCTATAAAACGATCCTTCGATGGAGACGGAATTGAATGGTCACTTCAGTTAATGAAGCGCAATTTAGAGAAAGAAAAAAGTGAGATTCAGTTTCCAAGATATTGTGATGGACATCATGAATACCATAAATGATATCGGGAGTATCTTCGCCACTATCCCATTCATACAAGCTCAAGAATATTGAGATGCCACACATCGAATCATACTGAAAAAGTCCAGTGTCAT